CCCCCCCCCCCCCCCCCATGGCCCCACACGGGGGCTCGCAAAGATACACCCGCTCGCCGGACCCGCCTCCTGACCCCGCCGGCCACACGACCAGTCCGCCTGGGAGGGCGTCCGTGAGGCCCACACCTTTGGCAACATGTGCCTCAACAGCCCGGTGTATGGCCTGGTCCGGACCAGCAGCCGCGCCACCCAAGACGAGGACTGCCTCTTCCTCAACCTCTATGTGCCGGTTGAGGCTCTCAAGCCCGACGCGGTGCGCCTCTCGTCGATCTCCCCTCGCTCGCTCGCCCATCCGCACGCGCTGACATGGGCTTTGCCCCCTGGTGATCGCACGCGCATACGCACACGTACACACGTATACACGTATACACGTACACACGTATACACGTATACACGTACACACGCGCGCACACGTATACACGCATGCACGTATACACGTACACACGCGCGCACACGTATACACGCATGCACGCACACACACACACACACACACACACACACACACACACACACAGGCCCGCGTGCCCGTCATGAACTTCATCCATGGCGGCGGGTTCATCATCGGCGCGGCGTCCAGCACGCATGTGGCCCCCGACCCGCAGGACTGGGTCCGGTCGACCAAGTCCATCGCCGTGCAGGCCAACTACCGCCTCGGGGCGCTGGGGTTCATGGCGCACCCGGTGCTGGATGTGACCGACGATGCGGGGACCCTGGTGGAGCCGAGCGGGGCCTTCGGCCTGGCGGACCAGGTGGCCGCGCTGGAGTGGATCCAGCGCAGCATCGGGGCCTTCGGCGGCGATGCCACCCGGGTGACGGTGGTCGGCGAGTCGGCCGGCGGCTTCAGCATTTGCGCCATGCTGGCCAGCGACTATGCGGCTTCGCGGCCGCTGGCCGCCGGGGGCCGGGGGCTGCCCTTCGCCCAGGCGGCGCTCCTGAGTGGCCCCTGCTCGTACTCCTTCCCGGAAGCGCCGTTCATGGGGTGGGCCGGGCCTGGCGGGCCGGCGGCCGGTGCCGCCACCCCGACCCCGGCCTTGGATCCCACCCGCCAGCTGGCGTCGCAGCCCCGCGCGGAGGACTGGCTCCCGGTGGCCTCCCGGCCGCCGGTGTTCCTGCCCCCGCCATCGGGCCCGGGGCACGATGGCCGCCGGCCGGCCTTCAACATGCTCCACCAGACCGAGGCCGCCATGCGGGCCATGGGCTGCCTGGGGCCCGATGAGTCGGCCGATCCCGAGCTCGGCCTGCCGGTCCCGCCGGAACGCGTGGACTGGGCCCGGGTCCGGGCATGTGTCTATGCCGCCACCCCGGACCAGGTGAATGGCGCCATCACCGCTCGCCGGGGGATCCTCTGGTTCCGCGGGGCCTTCTGGTTCCCGACGGTCAATCGCGCCGGCCCGGTGTTCATGCGCCAGCCCTTGGAGGCCTTCGGCCAGGGGTACACCGCGGCCCTGATGGGCCCGTCGGTCGGTGCCCCGGCCACGGCTCCCCCCCGGCTGCGCATTGCCTTCGGCGACAATTCCGACGAGGGGACCATCTTCGTGTGGCTGGGCTTCCCGGTGCGCGTGCGCCGGGCCGAATTCGCCGCCCTGCTGCAGCGCACGGTCGGGCCGGAGGCCGCGGCCAACCTGATGCTCGCGTATGGCGGCCAGCCGGCGCCCGCCAGCCCTGCCGGGGCCAATGCCACCACGGCCCCGGCCGCCAACGGGGCGGCCACCCTGCCACCCCTGCGCCGCGAGGCCCTCGGCCCGGTGGAGGACCTCACCCAGGACCGGGTGGCCGTGGCCCGCGCCGTCAGCGACCTGTGGAATTGCGCCACCCGCGTCAGCACCCGGACCCTGGCCCGGTCGTATGAGCAGCTGCTGGCCGCGCGCCGGGTGCCGGCCTCCTCGCCCAGCATGTCGGCCATCTTCTCCTACTACTTTGCCCATGCGCCGGGCTTCGCCCGGTGGCCCTTCGACACCTTCGGCGCGTACCATGGCGCCGAGCTGGCGTACATCTTCGGCGTGCGCCGCAGCCAGTATCACCATGCCGACCAGCAGGTCTTTGAGCATGTGCGCGGGGCCTTCGGCCGGTTTGTCCACGGGCTGATCCCCTGGTCGCCCTTCCGCCTGGCGGCCGACCATGCGGCGGCCCCCGCGCTCGGCTCCCAGGCCGAGCTGTTCTTCCCCCGCGACCCGGAGCACAGCCTCTGGTCGCATGTGGAGGTGTTCGGGTCGCGGGCCACCGTCCTGGACGCCACCTGGTCCGGGGGCCTGCACTGTGCGGCGGTTTGGTACAATGCCTCCATCGATGCGGCCGGGTTCCTGCACATCCCGGATGCCGCGCGTGTGGGCTACCGCGAGCCGGTCCTCTCGCAGTTCCTCAACGAGGCGGCCGTCATGTTCCTCGTGTCGGCGGTCGGCTTCCTCAGCGAACACCGCGTGTCGGTTCTCGGCGGCCTGCTCGCGGTGGCCGGGCTGATCATCGTCCGGCTGTACACTCGCCGTGCTGGTCGCCGTCGGGCCGCCGCCGCCGCCATGGCCGCCAAGAAGAACGACTGAGGCCGTGTCCCCTTGCTGGGCGTTCCCCCCCCCCCCATGCACACATCCTTGCTTCGCTGCTGTTGGGTGGGGCTTTTTTTCTCCCTCTCTCTCTCTCTCTCTCTCTCTCTCTCTCTCTCTTTCGCTGCCCCTCGGCCGTTTGATCGCGCCGGGTGCCGGGCTGCGCGCGCGCGCGCGCTCTGGCGTGTGCGCCTGCGCCGGGATCCGCGAGGGCCGGCGGCAGGGGCCGCGTCCCTGCCTGGATGAGGATCGCACCACGGCCGGCGTGTGTCCTCGTGCGGGCATGGGCCTGTGTGTGTGTGTGTGCCTTCGGCTCTCTCCCCCCCCCCCCCCCTTAGTTTGTCACTTCACAGAATGCACATGAAATTGGAGCTGCGGCCGCACGTGCCAACGGAGAAATTCGTCATCGTTTCCGCCACCCAACAAGTGGGGCGTAAAAGGGCCGGCGAGCGGGGCGGGGGGGACCGGGCGCGGGCGCAGTGCGGTGGGTGGGCGGCGCGCGGCGGGACGGGCCGGGGCGTGGATCGCCCGAGGGAGGGAGCCGGGGCCAAGCCCGGCAGGGCGCCAGGGGGGACAAAAGAGGCACCATCGCGGCCCAGGGAGCCGGGCTGCGACGATGGCAGCCCTCTTCCCTCCCCCTCTCGGCCGCCCTTCCTGCCTCTGCACCTTTCGCACATCTCGCACAGCCGCACACGTGCACACCCGCACGCACGCATACACGCACGCATACACACCATGACCGATACCGGACCAACGCCCCGAGAGGAGAACGCCCCTCGGCCGGAGTCGCCGGTCGCCCGCCAGCCGATCCCCACCATCGAGACGCTCATTGAGCGTGAGCGCAGTATCCCCTTCTTCGAGCGACTGAAAATGGCGGTCGCTGTACGTTCCCCCCCCCCCCCCCCCCCTGCACGCCTCCGGCCCCCCGGGTCACGCCGTGTGCGCCTGTGCTGACATTGCTCCCGCCCGGCAGTCCATTCGGCCCTCGGAGGACCTCGCCCGTATTGGCTCCATCCCCTGTGCCCGGGAGAGTCTCCTTTACGGCATCTCTACGTCGGTCATTATTGGCGCCTGTGCCCTGCTCTCCAAGCGTGCGTCCACACACACACACACACACGCGCGCGCGCGCGCGCGCACATGCCCTGTCTTGCGCTTGCTTTTGCCCCTTCTGCAAGCACGGTCATACCCATCCATGGCTCGCTCGGGCCCCCTGCCCCTGGGCTTCGCTCACACTCGTGCACACATCCCCCCCCCCTTTTGCCCAGGCCCCATCATCAAGGCTGTCAACTACTCGATTCTGTCCTTCGGCCTTGTGTCGATTACGTCCTGGTCCGTGCTGTGGACCCCTCACCCGGTGCATGTGCCCCCCTTTCTTTCGCCCTTTCTCCCACACTCACCTTGGCCATCGCGCTCTCCTCCCCCCCCCCCCCCCTCACTCTTTGATCCGGGTCCGGCAACAGGGAATACTGCCGGTACCATTGGCGGATCCGCGACCGCCAGCACCGGTTGATTGGTGAGCTTGGCGAAATGCTCCAGGCCCGCCAGGAGGCCAAGCGGCTGGCCGGCGAGGAGTACGCCCTTCCGCTGCGCCCGATCAAGCCCCAGGCCAAGCTGGAGTCCGTCACCGCGGCGATTGATGCCCATACGGCCGCCATGGCCGCCGCCGCCGCCGCCGCTGACGAGTCCACCCCGGAGGTCGCTGCCGCCGCCGCCGAGGACGTCCCCAAGGCCCCTCCGTCCACCTAGGGCAGGGCGGCCTTGCCTGTCACCACCCTTTTGCCAACCTTCCCCATCACAAACTGTCGATGCACCCCCCCCCCCCCCCCCCGCCCCCCGTAAATATAGAGTGCCAGTTATGGTTGCATGTTGCCTACGAGTACTCTCCTGGGATGGTCCCAGGGCGAGGGGGGCGCTGGCCGCCGGTGCTGGCCGTGTGCGAGAGGCGCCGACGTCGCCGTGGCGGTGCCACACATGCGACCGTCTCTTCAACCGGGGGAGGTGTGAGGACAGGCCATGGCCGGAGCGCCAGCGCTGCCAGCAGTTGCCCATGCCCGCTGAAGACCACCATCGCGCGCCTGCGGCGCCGGGGAAGGAGGACAAGGGGAGGGGGGGGGGAGAAAAGCGAGTCAGTGCCGATCGGAGGCCCCGATCCACAGGAGGATGTGCATGCACAGGGGGGAGGGGGGGCGCGCGGGTGCCATGGGTCGGCCGGCTGCTCGGGCACCTGTCAAGGGAAAGAGCCGAGCAGCGATAGTCACACAGGGGCCCGGCGGCCTGGAGGGCATCGCGAAGGGCCGGATCCCTGTCCGATGGGGCCCGGGTCAGCTGGTCGCGCCAGGCGGCCACCACGGCCGCCGGCGTGTGGACATTGGCCAGCCTCGGCCGGGGGATGGCCACGGCTCGGGACCACCAGCCCGTGGGAGTCGGCACCAGGCAGTGGAAGTGCCCCGGCGTGTCGCCAGCCAGGAAGAGGACCCCGAGGCTGGGCCCCCCGGCCACCGGCATCGGGCATCGGGCCCCGGCGCTGTCCCACAAGCCAGGAGCCTCGGCGGCCTGGCCGAACACCACATCCGCCCCGGGTGGGTCGGCCATTTGCATGCCGGTGCACAGGGACCGGCGCTCGACCTTGCGCCGGCCAGCAATCCCCGCCGCCGCACAGACCGAGGGGAGTTAGACAGCTGTCCGAGGACCGGCCGCGAGGAGGGGAGGGCGGGGCCTTTTTTTTCCTTGGCCGAGAAGAAGCAAGAAGGAACGGCCGTGGGGGGGGGGGAAAAAGGGGGGGGGGGCGTGGGGGAAGGCACGGGTACGGTTCCGTCGCTGCGGGCCACACCGAAGGCCGCCGGGCCCAGGGCAAAGAGGGCCGCCACGCTCGTGCCGCTGATGCTGCGGTCGCTGCTGCCGGCCGCCCGCAGCCAGACGACCTGCGCATGCAGAGGGGCAGCGCCATCGCCCCAGCCGGTCATGGCAACCAGGGTCAGATCGCCACTGCGGCTGCCCAGCAGCAAGAGCGGCCGGCGAGGGGGATCGGCGCTTGGGCCCCGGCGCCGGCGCCGGCGCTGCCACGCCAGGCCCTCGAGCTCCGGCGGCCCGGCCGGGACACATGCACACTCGACCAACTGCATGCACAGGTATTGCTGGTGCTTGATATTCACCCGGCGATAGGGGGGCCCATGCCATGTGACGGCAGCCGAGGCACGCCCCGGGGCCGGGGGCTCCGCATGCCCCGGGGATTGTCCATGCCGCGCCGGGCCCGCGTCCAGCACGCCACAGGGCGGGCAGATGCCCAGGCTGCCGGAACAGCTGACGGCCCGCCGGGAGGTGGCCGACTCGCTGGGCCATCGCCCCAAGCAGGTCATCGTCAGGCGAATGTCCTCCGGCCGGGCGAAGAGCCCAATGCGACCAAGCAGGACCTGGCATCGCTCCTCGGCCAGAGCCACGGTCCACCCGGCCGCCTGGGCAAGGGTTTCCAGCAGCCGGGGCGGATAGTGCAGGGGGAGGACCACCGCGCGGGTGGGCTCCACAAGGCCCGCGCCATCGGCCATGTGGAAGATCTCCAGCAGTCCGGTCCCCTGGCCGGTGGAGGTCCCCATGCAAAAGAGGCTGCCAGCATGTGGGCCGGTCAGCCGGGCAAACAGCTTGCCGGCGGTGAATTTCCCACCGGCCTCGGGGCAAAGCCGGGCCAGTTGCCGCGTCGGCACGCCGGCCTGCAAAAGGTACACCCTTGAGGGAGCGTGGGCATGGTTTGCGAGGTCAGGAGCTGGGAGAGGCGGGGGGGGGGGGGGGGGGGGGGGGGGGG